GGAAAACCCCCCCCCCCCCCGGGAGGGGAGGCCACACCGCAATCCCTTTTTCTCCATTCTCTTCTTGGGATCTTGGGCACACGTGCAGGTGTGCCTGGCATGAGTTTAAGCCACCAGGTCCAGGGACTCTAATGGCAGTCAACTACATGGGAGTCCAGCGACATAGCCATTACACCAACTGCTGGTCCCAGGGTTTTCTTATGTATACACACAAATGCACTTTTGTTTGTCAGAATAGTTCTTTTTCTATTGAACGGTGTGATGACAATTATATGTCTAAAGTTGGATTCATTACCGAAATTCAAAGACTCTAGGGGCAGGAAATTGGACCAATCTTTCTTCTAGCAGGGAGGATTACAAAAGATAAATGGAGAAAAGGGTCACACATTCATTCTTTGCAAGTGAAGCCCTTTATCAAAGATTTTCTGATGGTGTCCATAGGTTGTGAAAAGCATAAGTGCAACTGTTTATGGTGGAGCCTTTTCTTGGAGTGAATGAAGAGGTTGGAAAACTGTCTCTGCAGTTTAAAGCAAGATTAGAAAATCACCCCTTAGCAAGGACAGGCAGGTGTGTGTTAGAGTTGTGGGCCTAGCCTGTGGGAACCTACAGCTAGACTTGACATGGGCTCAGGGTGAAAACGATCCCTTCAGAAACAGATTTGCCTTCCGATAGGCTCTTTGCTCCAGTAAATTTTAGTGTAGAGGCTAAGTTGTTAGTGTCTCACATCTGGACTTTTTTTTTTTTAATCTAATTTAATAAAACTCTACTACTTCTAGAGGGACACTGATTCATTTTAAAATTAAAATGAAGGGAGTAGGTTAGAAGTTTCGTCAAAAAGGAGTGATGTGATAGCAGTTTTTCTCTGCCAGGGAACTGAGGAAGTGGTGAACTATCTGTCAGAATGTGTTTGTTCTGCTTTCTAGGAAAGGGCATTTTCTGGTAGGAATGTGTCTGGAAGAGACCCGAAGGGGCACACTGAGGGGATGGACTTTGTAGAGCTAAACAACCGCAGAGGGAAAATTTTAGGACACTATTTCTTTCCTAAAACCTGTTCTACTGGCTCTTAATTACACAGCAGAGGACGGGGGTGGCAGTTCAGTGGGGCTTTGAGATCAGAGAGATCCGCTTGGACCTTGTCTCTCCCATTTGCCACCTGGGTAAACAGAGACAAGTTAGTTTACCTCTTTGACTTTGTTTCACTTTTCATACAAAAAGAATCACTATCCTCTCAGAGTTTTTGATAATTAAACACGATAATCTGTGTAAAGCCTGTACAAACACAACAGTAACTTTTGAGAGACTGCTTAATACATGTTAGAATGATTACAAAAATTGAGAGTCAAGTCAGTCCATGGCCTGGTGGTTAAAGAGGCTAGAACCCATATAGCCAGCTGCTAGGTTTGAGTCCTGGATTTGGTGACTTGAAAAACACACCAGGCACAAGTGTATGCATGCTCAAAATTCTGAAAGGAGAAATGGAGGAGAAGGGATTATAGTGTAATAATACTCCATGGAGGGTGCTTTCTCTCTCTCACTGTCTTTGTCTCTGTCTCCAATGAGCACAGTTGCCCTCTGGCAAACAACAACAAATAAAGACATACAGAGAATTCTTTTTGGAATTCTAATTGGGGAGTATTTTGCTTTTCTTTTCAGTGTTAAAGTGAATGGGTGTATGCATACCCCAATATATATTTATATTGTTTGTTATTATTTCCATGCACATGTATCAGAGACGACTAAAAGGAGGTTGTTATTGACAGATTTTCGATTCTCTTAGAGATTTCCTCTTCTTAAAACTTCCTTGAAAACAAGGGACTATGTCTCATTCATCTTCATATCTCTAATACGTAGCAATTCTCAATTGATTTTTTGTTAAGCTGAATTATTTGTAATGTTCTCAGACTATGAAAGGGTTTTTTTAAAGCTTAGGCAGAAGCACAGTACCGAGGGGCCAGTTTTCACAGGTTAACTGATGACTTGAATGGAAATGGGGAGGGTAGAAGAGAACATTAGTCAGCCTGTTCCAGATGGATTTGGACTAAGAGGCTGACCACTGGGTGTTTAAAATGACAGATGCTGGGACGATTACATTTGTATTTTATAAAACAAGTAGTTCTTTGGGCTTTGAGTAATACACAATTAAAATTTTTAAATTGAATTTAACTAGCTTTTCCATATTATTTTGATGTTTTAAGCATATTTTTTCTTATTCTTTTAAGGTAATGGGAAAGTTATCATCCAGAAAATAATAGGTAGACAGATTGTCTACACAGCATCTAACACTACCTTGACCAATTTTTTTTTTTTTTAAGAAGTTTTTGCTATAGGGCGCATGTGCTCGCCAGAAAGACAGAGAGAGACAGAGATAGAAAGCAAGAAATCACCCCCAGGGGGGATGGCCATGCCGCAATCCCTTCTCCTCCATTCTCCTCTCGGGATCTTGGGCACTCAAGAACATGTGCCCGGCGTGAGTTTAAGCCACCAGGTCTGGGACTCGAACCGTGGTTGACTATATGGGAGTCCAGTGACATAGCCATTATGCTAACTTCTGGTCTCTTGACCACTTTTTTCATGTAATTTATTTTGCAATAGTTTTTTTTTCTGGCAATTAACTAAGTAAACATTTAAAAATCTAGTAGCTATCATGGAAGATACATTATATAAGTCATTAATGGTGCCTTGTCTGGATGGTTAACATAGTTTTCTTTTTCATTTATATCTTAAGGAGAAATTACAAATGATGCAATCAAGTTCAGTTCAGTGACTGCTACTTGGGTCAGGTCTACACCGTTCACTTGTTTCAGATAGACTTCATCATGAACACTAGCTTGAGTTTTGAGAGTCTGCTTCTGCTGTCTTCTGAACATTGGGCTAAGTATTAGGGCTAGAAAGATATTTAGGTCAAGTTGCTTATGTGTAAAGTTTTTACTAATATTTTAGTAGTTTTGGAGACAGATAAAAAACAAAGCTTAAATGAATAGCTACATATCATAAAAAATTTATGAAGTCATTATTCAAGATATTAAGAAAATACGTAAAGATTGCACAGTATGTTTAGATAATCATTTTTAACCAGCATACAATGTTGAATAAATTATGATCCTTGGAAAAAATGAAATATTCAGAATTTGATAGGGTGGTGGATGACATCTCATTTCTCTATTCCTATTCACACTATATTTGGCAGTAGCTCTTACACGCTTTCTCTCATTTCCACTTTTATTGCTATTGCCTTAGATTCTTAGTACTTCAGGACTTGATTAATCATTATTTTCATAACTTTAATCTTTCCAATCTTTCATAATGCTATTGTTATTTTAAAAATATCCAAGCTTTTCTTGGTCTTTAAACTGTAATTGGAAAACTTTTTAAGGTTAAGAAACAGATAGTAAATATTTTAGGTGTGGGGGGGTCATATATACTTTTTTGTCTCAAGTATTCAGTTTAGCCATTGGAGTGTGGAACTAAGCATAGTAAACACCTTAATGAATGTGTGTAGTTGTGTTACAAAATAACTTTATTTACAAAACAGAGGACAAGATGGATTTGGTGTGTGGGTCACAGTTTTCTGACTTCTGGCCCAAAGCAATGTACTTCAAACAGGAAGTCTGTTGCATATTCTTTTAAGTAATTTTGAAATTTTGTTTTCACTTGAATGACAATCTTAAAAAGTATATATAGAGTTGGCTTAGTGGTGAAGCCATATGGAAGGTCATTGGTTTGGTTCCCTGATCCACCTGTGTTTACTGGGTGTACACCCATGATCTTAGCTAGCTGGGGAGGCTATGGACTGGGGAACAGGTATGGATCACAGTGTGAGACCCTGTGAGGGTGCTTGTTTTTCCCTCACTCTTACTTCCATAAAATAAATAAACAAAAAGAATCTTAAAATAAGTATTTTGATATTTTCCATCATTTGGTGACCATCTAATAAATTAATATACTGTATGATTTCAGTGTGCATAGTTGTGTTTTGATGGTAAGGTAGTAATACTATTATTATTATTATTTGGCCAGTGGATGTGCACACTTGCCAGAGAGAGACAGACAGAGAGAAGGAGAGAGGGAAGAAGAAGACACTTTCTCCTCCATGGACATCCCCAAGGGATTATGGACATGGCCCTCCTCCCCAGGGGGTGCTCTGTATCTCTTCCGTGAGTGCACACACTCTATAGAAAATTAGAAAGAAAACACAAACAAGGAACTGGCAGGTGGTGTGGTAGTTAAGGGCACTTAGCTCCCACATGGCTGACCACAGTTCAAGTCCTGGACCTGGTGGCTTGATTTCTCATTCCCCCTCTCACCCCCACTCTGTCCTTCTCTGGTCAAATTTAAATAAAGTTAAATAAAAATAATTCTTAAAAAATTAAAAATAACAAACAAAAACCAAAAGGCTTTTAAATATACTATTTGAAAACAATTCACAGTAACATGAGTAGAGAAAAGAATAACAAAATTAAACAATTAGGCTTACACTGTGTACTAAACTAAACATTTATGTATGTGTGCACCCCAAGTGTATTTTTTTCTTAACTGTAAGTGTTATGTTGTTTGTAGCAATTTCCATTGTGGAAAAATGAATATCTATCTCGTGATGTTTATGTTAAGTTGAACCTTAATATGTTAAGTTGAATCTTATAGTTGGGCTTTGTTTCTAATTCATAAAGTTTTTAATTTTACTGTTATTCATGAAGTAAAAGCAAATGATTTAAGAAAAATTTGTCTCTAAGTGTTAGCCACATCAGCCATCTCAGTTATAAGGTCTTGCTTAAACCTTATTTCTTACATGGAAACTAAGACTTAATTCCTTGCATGAGACAGACTAGCTCAGAAGCATCTTACCGTCTCTTGTCTCGTTAATTATTTCACATTTCACCCACTCGGCAATTAATTATGTTTTCATGCTAGCATCTGTGCCACTGGTTATTATATGGTTAACTCTCATACATTATGTAACGTTGGGGTTCTCGCTCTATCTTCTCAACTAGATGCTGAGCTCTGTGAGAAGAAAACCACCTGTTTATTTTTCTTGGTAAGATATATTGTGTATAAAGTTAAATAAAAATAATTCTTAAAAAATTAAAAATAACAAACAAAAACCAAAAGGCTTTTAAATATACTATTTGAAAACAATTCACAGTAACATGAGTAGAGAAAAGAATAACAAAATTAAACAATTAGGCTTACACTGTGTACTAAACTAAACATTTATGTATGTGTGCACCCCAAGTGTATTTTTTTCTTAACTGTAAGTGTTATGTTGTTTGTAGCAATTTCCATTGTGGAAAAATGAATATCTATCTCGTGATGTTTATGTTAAGTTGAACCTTAATATGTTAAGTTGAATCTTATAGTTGGGCTTTGTTTCTAATTCATAAAGTTTTTAATTTTACTGTTATTCATGAAGTAAAAGCAAATGATTTAAGAAAAATTTGTCTCTAAGTGTTAGCCACATCAGCCATCTCAGTTATAAGGTCTTGCTTAAACCTTATTTCTTACATGGAAACTAAGACTTAATTCCTTGCATGAGACAGACTAGCTCAGAAGCATCTTACCGTCTCTTGTCTCGTTAATTATTTCACATTTCACCCACTCGGCAATTAATTATGTTTTCATGCTAGCATCTGTGCCACTGGTTATTATATGGTTAACTCTCATACATTATGTAACGTTGGGGTTCTCGCTCTATCTTCTCAACTAGATGCTGAGCTCTGTGAGAAGAAAACCACCTGTTTATTTTTCTTGGTAAGATATATTGTGTTGCTGGGTTGGATGGCTCAGACCGACAGTCATTTACCTAGGACGCTTGTTGATATAAGCACTATTTGTAGTTATAAAGTACTTTTTTTTATGGCAGATTCTCAGTTGTTTTAAATGTTTTCTTTAGATGAAAATATTGCAGATCCCAGACTGTACCTTGACAACTTTCACAATGCCTTCATTAGTTTGTGGGTCTGTTTGAATATCGAACCAATTCCCATCATTTCCAGAAAGAATGACGTATTTGGCCAACCAGTTATCGGTGCCTTCTTCATCGAGATCAATTGCTTGTAATCGCATCAGTTCTGAACTCAAACAATTCTCTTCAATACTGGCGGAATACTGAAATGATATAGATCGATTTCACACTCAAAGGACTTTCAAAAGAACATATTTACTAATACGTAATTATTATTTAAAAATGAACAACAAATTGTGTCAACGGGTTTTGTGCCATTAGTAAATGCCATACATTCCATCAGAATATAAAAATAAAAGGATTGTAAGATAAAACTGATGTCTGTGTGCTGTACAGGAAATGGAGGTTACACTGGCGCTTCGTCTCACAGTCCTTGCTCATTTTAATATTCTTCATTTCCCTCTTTTCTTTTGGATAAAGGATCAGATTTTTTCCCCAGGAAAGTAAAGGCCCAGATAGTACAGATTTAGGCTTTGAGAGTCAGTGTCTGTGCTGAAGATTTTTTTTTTTTTAATAAAAAGAATCATTCCATTTAACTTTATTAATTAATTTATTTGACCAGAGAGGGACAGAGTGAGAGAGAAAGAGAGGGAAAGTAAGAAAGCAAGCCGCCAGATCCGGGACTTGAACCTCAGTCGACTATGTGGCAATCCAGCACCCTTAACCACTACATCACCTGCCAGCCCCCTGTTCTACAGCTTTCATCGCTGCTGTTGCAGCACACGCACCCCAGACACCACATAAAGGAACGAGCATGGCTGTGGTCCAATAAAACAGGTTTTTACAAAATAGGCAGCAAGCCAGATTGGGCGCCGCTTGGGCTTTTATGCTTTTTTATGCCTAAAGATGAAAATGGAAGTTCAGAGAATAGCTGGGTCTCTGATATACGTAATTAAGCAAATTATGAGGCATATAGAAATATATCAGCATTATACTATTCTCAGAGTAATAATATGTTTCTGTGAAGAGAGTCTATGGAGTAGACAGATTGTTGCTTTCACAGAGATTTGAAATATTTAGGCAAAGACAAACACGCAATGTTAAGATATATTGCTCTCCATAAGAAATTCCAAGTTTTATACAGCCAAGCTAAGGATGTGTAACAGAATTAGGCCCATGAACTAGCAGGAAAGCAAATCAATTATTGACATGGAAAAAGAATGATAAGAACAACCACTTACCGAAGTTTTCTCTAAAATGGGGAAATTATCATTGACGTCTAAAATCTTGATTCTACAGTCGCACTCGGAAGACAGCCCATCTGCAGCTCCGTCGCGATCTGAGCCTCTCACAAGGAGGTTGTACATACTGTGTTGCTTAATTACGATAAAAAGGAATTGCAAGGCTTAGGTCTCGAACAGAATTCTACATATCTCAGTGCTATTATTTCATACACACACACATACGCACACACACACATACGTACACACGCACCAATGAAATCGACATAATTCATATTTTAATTTTCATAAATGATTATTTCCATCCCCTTCTTTACATTGGAGTACAAGTAAACAAAGATCATTTCATGCTTGTTATTTGAAATGGAACCCCATATTTCTTATCATTCATTCTGGGGCTTTACCTCTCTGTCAAGGAAACTGGACATCGTGCGGACTTCTCCAGAGTATCTGTTGAGAATGAACATCGGTGCCCCTGCAGGCTCCTGGGAGACGATCTTGTAGGCGATTTTAGAATTCAGGTGATTGTCTTCATCGGCATCTGTGGCACTTACTTTTACTACCATTACATCTAGAAATGAAGGTGGTGGAGAATGATTGGGATTCTGTGTAAGAATTAGTTCAGCAAATCATTAGGCATAGGAAGAACTGATTGGTCTTCTTCCAAATTCTTTCTGTTCAAGTTTTCCATAAGGCTATATTATAACTTTTCTGCTATACCAGTGATTACAAAAATAAGTACGGTTTGCTTTTATAAAATCCTTCATAAAATATTTGTACTTAAATGGTTAACTGATAAATCAGTAGCAAAATCTCTTTGATAAATAAAAAAGACTATTAAAGAGATGCGAAAACCAATGATATCAGTTGTGTTAGTGCCATGGTCTTGGAAAATTACTTTAAAATGTTTAAGAAAGATTATCGTTGAATAAATTTGACATTATAGTTATTTATTGAGTACTTGTATTATTACCACGCATCCAGAAATCAAAGAATTACTATTGGTTGGATTGAAAGATAACAGAATTTTACCAGTGAAAAAATACATAACTAGTGGAAAGATTTGTCCATAGGAATCTAAGAAATTTTAAATTATTCCTAGGGATACAAAGCTAGTATTCTAGGCCAATCCCCAAGGACATAAGTCCACAGGAAACATTTTCCAGAGTTGACATGTTCTTGATAAACTTGTCTTTTTAAAAATGTTTATTTATTTACCAAGAGAAAGAGAGACAGAGAGACAGAGAGAGAGATCCCTATTCCTCACCAGGATCTTTATACCACTCTGCACCCCCGGGCTCAACCAGTCAGGATTATGGGCATCCTCCAATGCTATACTTGTGCAGGGTGACATCGGGATGTGAACTTGGGACCTGCTCATTGGCTTCAGTATTGTGGAGTGTTCTATACTGCTGTGACAATGTGGCTGGACCCTCTTGTTCTTTTGCCAAGCCTGAAAGTAAAAAATCTTACCATAGAACCAGAGATCCCTTGAACAGAAAGAGCCAGAAGTCATGGAATGCATAGTTTTAAGAGTGTGCTCTAGCAGTGAAGTCATTTGTTCAGAAACTATCCTCCCACGAGAAAGCATTTACAAAGCTGCAATGCAACTGAGAGGACATGGCCGTGAGTTTCACCTTCTCTCCCTTCACCAGTGTTGTCTGAAGTGTGTTAATGAAGCAGAGATGGACTTTAGAGTCCCTCTCTCAGTTCCTTTTAGGCAAAATCTTTTCTTTGCCTCTCTGTGATCTTCCATCCTATGTTAAACAATTTCTTTGTTGTTGTTGTTGGGCCAGCTGGTAACATGGTGGTTGGATCCCACATGGCCAATTGCATAGTTCGATTCTCAGACTGGTGGCTTGAAAAACACTCCAGGCATGTCTGAGTGTGTGCCCAAAATCCCAAGAGGAGAAATGGAGAAGAGGGATTATGGTGTGACCGTCCCCATGGTGGGCACTTTCTGTCTCTCTCATTCTCTGACAAGTGCATGTACCCTTTAGCAAAAACAAACAAAGTGTTTATCAGCCTTTCTTCGGAAATCTTATTTTTCCCAAAATTATTTAGAAGTATACAGGCAGGCATAAATTTGAAAGGGAAA